TTAAGAAGTGTTATGTAGCAATTACCCACCATGGATGTGGTCACTACATCCTGTAAATATGTATAAATAACTAAGCTAAGTAATTCCAATTAAGAACAAATGCTAGGGCTGGCCAAATAGTTCAGTGGATTAAAGTTCTGGCAAGTAGGCGCAGGGGCCGGGTTCTATCCCCTGGCCTGCTACGCTGGTCCCGCCCCCGGGGGGTGCTGAGATGGCAATTGAGACTGGGCGTGGTGGCACGCCTGTAATCCCAGCTCTTGGGAGGCTGGAAACAGGAGAATCACTGCAAGCCCGTTCTAGTCGTGAGACCCTGAATACGCTATAGGACCTTCTCTAAAAAATACAGAGAGAGAAAGAGAGAGAGAGAGAGAGAGAGAGAGAGAGAGAGAGAGAACAAATGCTATTGAGAAGAACATTAAAGATTTTAGGGGCAAAATGTGAAAGTAGAAAACAAAACGGCCAAGTGGGTAAATCTCTTCCTTATACTACTCAAACGTCATGATTATACCAAATGAAAGCTTTCATTATTCATTCCACAAATATCCTCTGGTCCCTAGTATGTGCCAGATACATTTCTATACATTAGAGACTTAGAACGAAACAACAACCAAAATTCAACACAAGATCATTCCCTAGAGTCTGACCAGCTCGGGCACAGTGGTCACAGCCTGAAGGCGCCAAGCGCCCGCCGCCGACCTGGGTGTCTGAGCTCGCGCAAAGAGCAGCTAAGTCCCTCATCTCCAGCCCTGCTGCCCCGCGCATCGTTCTTCCTACTCTTCAGTCTTCTCTAGTTAGGTCGAGCACACACTCAGCTCTTGCCTATTCTTTCACTGGATTTTATCTCATTCAATTTTATCTCATATCTTTTTTAAACTTTACAGAACCAAATTTAAATTAGACTAGACTGAAAGTGTCTGTCTTAGGGACTTCTTTCAGACTGGGTAGAATGGCTTCTTCTCAGTTCTTATGGACATGACAGCATCTACCGCATTTTTATTTTGTAATAAAGTTGACTTTTACAGCGTTCCTCATCAGCCCTACTTCATCCAAAAGCTTGGTGCTTGGAGATGTGATGAGCAGGGGCATGATGCTAATGCTTGATATAAAATTGTCAGCACCTACGTTTGTTTCACAACACTGCCCATCTGTTGGAGTATTGCACATTGTCACTTAAAATTGCACTAGGTGACTACAATGCAAATATGTTCCTGTGCAGGAAAACTTCTTCCACCTATACAATAGATATTGTTCATACTTTTCAGATTAAGCTTTTGCCAGCATATATCTTTTTAAGAAATTATATAGCTTTATTTGCATTGAAATATAGCATGCCTTTTCTGACTGATACATTGATATTTTGTAAGCTTTTTCTTAGGTGTATAAAGTTTCTCTTCCATCTGTGCTCTTTCATAAGGTGTCAAGCAGAATAGTAGGTAACCTTCCCTTCCCCGAGACACTGCTAGAAGAGAAGTTTAATTTGGCTCAGAATTTCAGGTGATTCAGGCCATGGTCAGGGGCTCCAAGATGCTTAAAGGGCATTGTAGACTCAGGAGCTTTGTTCCTGCCAGTTAGGAAGTAAAGAGAGCAGAAAACGTCAGAGAGGAAGGTCCAAGCATCATATATAGCATCCACAGTCATGCCTCCGTGGCCCTCACAGACACATCCAGAAGTGAGCTTTGCTAATCTGCTGGGGGGCTGCCAAACCAATCTACTTGAAGTCTTAATCATCACATTCCATCTCTTGTCAACTTGACACCGAAACATATCTCATCAAACTATACTGAAACTCCACATAAACACAGTACCAAGTTAGTAATTTCATGTAATTAGCTTGAATACAACCAAAAATGTAATAACCTCTTCCTCAAAGTTTAAACAGTGCCAGTAGGTTATAAAAGTCTAAGTTCAAGCTTTTTTTTTTTTTTTTTTTTTTTTTTCCTGAGACTTAAGGCAAGCTCTTAACTGTGAAACTATAAATATCAAAACAAGCCAGGCATGGTGACACATGCCTATAATCCCAGCACTCAGGAGACTGAGACAGGCAGATTGCCACAAACTCAAGGCCAGACTGGGCTAGTTAGTTAGTTCAGAGGCAGCATAAACTATATAGTTAGACCCTTTCTCAAAAACAAACAAAAATCTTAAAGCAAGTTGTATAATCCCAAGGTGTAATGGCACAGTATAAATGTTCCCATGCAAAAATGGAGCCTTCCGGACATGGAAAATAATCAGACCAAAACAAGATGGATAGACATTAAGTCTGGTAGCTCCATCTCCAGAATATGGGGTGCATGGTGGTGAGATGTGCATTCCAAAGGGATTGAGGGGCACTGCTGGATGGCTTGCTTGTTTTGAGCTCTTGGGCTGACTCTCTTGGCTGCCTGACTCATGGGCTGACATTCCATTTTGCTGGCATCTTTACTTTCCTGGGATCGCCACTGCATCTTAAGCTCCAGTCCCACAACTTCGTGCACCTTCCTCTGAGGACAAAATTGCCTGGCTTCCTTGGCTTTCTTGCGAAATTTAGGTGGATGACTCCACGGCCCTACAGTGTTGGCATTCTGTGAGCCTGACCAACTGAGTCGGTGGGCAACACCAAGGCCTGCCTCCAATGCAGGCTCTGTGTGAGCGAGGCTACAGCACACACTGAGTGACTGGATAGCTGAGTATGCTGAAATAAACTCCAGACAAGCAGTTGCTCAGGCAGGGTTCACAAAGACTTTCTTCTCAAATGAGGTGTTGATGCTCTTGCACCTTGGAGCCTTGCTGGATGGGCCTTACTAATTTCTGAGATGACTTCAGGGAATCTTTCTTCTTGCTCTGGTTCAAAGTACTCACTTTCTTCATAGTGATCATAATCTCTTCAGCAACTATACCTAGTTGGCAACAACTTTACATATTGTTCCCTTGGGTCCAATTTTAATTTGTCATAATATTTCCATTCTGTCTTTTGTTCCTATTTTCTTTGTAAATCTGGCTAAAAGCAGCCAAAGGCCTGAAGTTTGGGCTACCTTGGTCTTTTGTCTGGCAAATTGCTGAACTTAATCTTAATCACCTCCAAGTCTCTGAACATAGGCAAAATAGTGCCAGTTTTCTTTTAAAGTTTAACACACATGGCCTTTAGTCAATGTTCAGTGGAATCTTCACTCTGTCCTGAAATCTCTTGAATACTGTCGGCCCTCCAGGCTTCACAGTTTTGGTCAGAATCAAAAATATGTTTTCTTAATCCCCTACGTAGTTCCCACACTAACTTTAGAATTAATTGTAAACATCTCCTTTATTTCTTTGAATTTATCTGATCCAATCTTCTTTTTTAACCTATAAACATTTTCTCAATTTTTGGTTTCTCAATAGGTCTTGCTGTTTTATCCAATGATGTATATTTTAATTCAGTTTTATTTCACATTTTCTGAAAAGCCTGTTATACTTACTATTTGACTTCTCATCTTATCATGTTAACTTTGGTCTCAAATATTCCCTAGTTATAAAATTCTTTTATAGGCTTGGTACATAAGTAAATAAAATACTGGGGAGATAACTCAGTGTCTTAAAAGCCTGCCTGGCAAGCACAAGGTTCTGAATTCAATCACCGTATACCAGGAAAACACAGAAAAAAAAAAAAAATAGGAAATTAAGTAAACTATTGTAGATGAATATTTTCATTTTATTTTGTGCAAAATGTTGTTTGATTTGAAACTTATGTGAAATCTGATCTCAATTTTTGGGATGTTAACAGCGATGTATAGCTCTTACTTTAAAATTCTCCTTGGTTTTATGAAACAAAAAATTAGGCATCTATGCTATTATAATTGGTCTTAAGGTATATTACTATTTATTATTCCACCCTAATTAAATGTCCAAATGTACAGCAAATGAATTAGTTTATTTAGAGTGACTCTAAATACTTTACTTCATATACCTTTTAGTTCAAGAAAGTCTGCTGATTCATGAGTAAGGTGTCATTTTTCAGGTTTAATGTTGGTCCATAGTCAAGTAAAGAAAGAGAGACAGAGATTATTTCTTTCTTAAATTAAGTCATTTTTCAAAGATCCCAGGAGAGAATACATTTTCTTGCTTCGTATCACAGGATTTGGTAGGAGGTTAGGTCAGAAATATTATTCTGAAACTGAAGTGAGAACTAACAGCTGAGTAATGTATGCTTGAAGGTTCACATGAAGTATCAAAAGTTCAACGTCTGTCTTTGTTTCCATTTTGGTGTGTTTCATATCTGTTTGACTAAAAGACAGAAGTTGTTGAGTATTCTGAGTAATTTGTACTCCCACTGTTAGGACCTGGTGACTATTTAAAAGGAACCTCTTGCTAGACTCTCCTGTACAGTTGGCAGCTATTTGCAATTTGATAGCTCTCTTTTGTACCCTTATCCTGTGTGCTTTTGGTTGCAAGCACAGTCGATCAAATGAGTTTTAAAGTTCAGTGCTTATGCTGTATGTTACAAGTAAATCTTATGGGTTTTTTTTTTTTCATTATTTAAGGTTCTTGTGCATTTATGTTAATTCCACTCAAGGTACTTTTATACTATTCAATTTGACAATACCATTCTATCAGTTTTCCTTAGAAGCTTTTCTTACACAATAACTCTTGAAACTAAAGTTGACTGAACTCTAACAAAAGAAAAATATGTACTTTGTTGTATTTCAACTCTATTAAAATATTTTATGAAAGAAATTTCACAATAAATATGCATGAATATTTTTAGGGGAAAATGACATTGCTTTGGAATTTTTTTGAATTTAAAAGGAAAAATATGATCATTAAAGAAACAAATCAAACAATATTCTTTCATCTATCCAGAAGGATGGTAAGAAGTTTATTAAACAATTACCATAGGTTGTGAACACGCCAAATTTTTCTTGTGGTTATGAGTTCTTTTCCTCCATGGTGGTGTCAACGCAAGCATATTATGCTCTAGAGGACTTCTCAGAGAGCTGATGCCCCCAAACTTTCGCCAAAGAGCTCATCTTGACAACAATCGGCAAGATATGTTTTCTTCTTTTTGCTGTTCTCTATGTGGTGTCCTACTTAATCATCACAAGATACAAGAGAAAATCAGATGAACAAGAAGATGAAGATGCCATAGTCAACAGGATTTCGTTGTTTCTGAGCACCTTCACTCTTGCGGTGTCAGCTGGGGCTGTGCTGCTTTTACCCTTCTCAATAATCAGCAATGAGATCCTGCTGTCTTTTCCTCAGAACTACTATATTCAATGGCTGAATGGCTCCCTGATTCATGGTTTGTGGAATCTTGCCTCTCTCTTTTCCAACCTTTGCTTATTTGTATTGATGCCCTTTGCCTTTTTCTTTCTGGAATCTGAAGGTTTTGCTGGTCTCAAAAAGGGAATCCGAGCCCGTGTTTTGGAGACGCTTGTCATGCTGCTGCTTCTTGCCTTACTGATTCTCGGGATAGTTTGGGTGGCTTCGGCACTGATTGACAACGATGCAGCTAGCATGGAGTCTTTATATGATCTCTGGGAGTTCTACCTACCCTATTTATATTCCTGTATATCATTGATGGGATGTTTGTTACTTCTCTTGTGCACACCGGTGGGCCTCTCCCGCATGTTCGCAGTCATGGGCCAGCTGCTGGTGAAGCCCACAATTCTTGAAGACTTGGACGAGCAAATTTATATTATCACCCTGGAGGAGGAAGCACTCCAGAGACGGCTAAATGGGGTGTCTTCTTCAGTGGAGTACAACATAATGGAGTTGGAACAAGAACTTGAAAATGTAAAGACTCTTAAAACAAAACTAGAAAGGCGGAAAAAGGCTTCAGCATGGGAAAGAAATTTGGTGTATCCTGCTGTTATGGTTCTACTTCTTATTGAGACGTCCATCTCGGTCCTTTTGGTGGTGTGTAATATTCTTTGCCTGTTGGTTGATGAAACAGCAATGCCAAAGGGAACACGGGGTCCTGGAATAGGACACACCTCTCTCTCTACTTTTGGTTTTGTGGGAGCTGCACTTGAAATCATTTTGATTTTCTATCTTATGGTGTCTTCCGTTGTTGGTTTCTATAGCCTCCAATTTTTTGGAAACTTTACACCCAGAAGGATGACACGACGATGACAAAGATCATTGGGAACTGTGTGTCAATCTTGGTCCTGAGTTCTGCTCTGCCTGTGATGTCCAGAACACTGGGAATCACTAGGTTTGACCTACTTGGAGACTTTGGAAGGTTTAATTGGCTGGGCAATTTCTACATTGTCCTGTCCTACAATTTACTCTTTGCCATTGTGACAACATTGTGTCTGGTCAGAAAATTCACCTCTGCTGTTCGAGAAGAACTTTTCAAGGCCCTAGGGCTGCATAAAACTCCACTCATCCAACCCTTCAAGGGACTCAGAAGCACCCAAGCCATCTGCAAATGGGCATCAGAAAGCACTGTGAGACCCGCGGTGGGCACGCATTCTGCAAGCAAGAGCCTGAGCAGTCCGAGCTCGTGACATTCCTGCCTGCCAGCCCTAGGGTGTCTTCACGCCGACCTCAGTGCACGTGTAGGGCCCAGGCTAGCAGTGTCTTTTGTCGTAGTCTAAGAGCCTAGCTATTGCTGGTCTTGCTTTATAAATTCAGCTTTCTGGTAAGCTTGGTGGCTTCCAGCTCAGCACAGCTCCCTGCAGACGTGCAGGAGGACACTCACTGTGGCTCTTGGCAGAGGCTGTCCTGGTGTGAAGCTGTTGGAAACACAGACTGCAGCTCTGGCCGATGCACTCTGCTCCCACTACGGGTTAACTTGGCGTGAGATGCTGGCCTGAAAGAGCCCTGTGCTGGGGAGGCTCACGGCCTGTGGAGACAACTGCTTGTAGAGGCCGCTACTGCCGCAGCCACGTGGAAACTACTGGAATTGGAAATTTCTTTTTATTTCCTTAAAAAAAGCATAGCTTCCAATTTAGGTTACAGACTTTTCACTAGACTTTGAGCCAAGGAAAAATGCTAAATTCTTTTAACCCCTGAGTCTCAGCAGCAAGCCATAGGAGCATCTTCTGGGCTCATTACAGGACATGCTGGAGAGTGTGTGTCCTCGTGGCTGGGGGCCAGTGGACCTGTGTGTGGCTCAGTATACCTCTCGGAACACAGTTGCCAGTGTTGAGCACACGTGGAACTTAACTTTTGCCTTATAGGCTATATGTACATTCACTTTTTTTAAAGCATTCTTTTTCAAAAATCAAAAAAAAAAAAAAAAAAAAACAATTACCATATATATGGAGTGCTCATCTGCTTAATAAATTTAATTAAGGCACTTTGTTAACCTCACCATTTTTCAAATACATATATATGAAAGACATCATACATGTATAAAACATTATATATACACGTCTTTACACATATGTATGCATGTGCACATGTATGCATACACATAGACACATATATTTATGTTTGTATACATAGATAGTACATTGTATGCATGTACACATACATATGCACATGCATGTTTATGTGTGTAAGTATATTTTTATATATATACATACACATTTTTTTCAGTTTCATAGTAAATACGTAGTGCTTTTCGAATATTTGTTCTCTTCTTTCATAGAAATAGTTTTTTTGGCTCATGTATACAAAACTGAATATCATTCATCCCAGTCTTCTTTGAAATGAATCATGCTCATCATCAGGTATGCACTGAGCAGTATTTACATTTTAGGTAGAAAGAAAAATGTGTTTTCAAAATATGTAAAAGGGCCAAGGAGATATCTCAGTGACATAAGCACCTGCCTTGCAAGCACAAAGTCCCGAATTTGATCACTGATACTGCCAGAAAAAAATAAAATGACATAAAAACAAATCTTTTTTCCTCTAAATGTAGGTGTCATTTATTAGGTTCGGCCAGAGAACTCAGTGGATTAAAGGGCCTGCTTAGGCAGATACAGGGGCAGGGGTTCTATCCCTGGCCTGCTGTGCTGGCCCCGCCCCCAGGGCGCTCCAAGACGCCAACTGACACTGGGTATGGTGCTGCGCACCTGTAATCCTACCACTTGGGAGGTTGAAAAACAGGAAGGCTCCCTACGAGTCCGATCTGAAAAACTGTGCTTGAAAAATTGTGCTTGATAATTTGCCATACAGGTATGTCCTATTTAAAACAAACTATTAATTTAACTTTTCTCCTTAGAAGACCCTGCAGATCCTGTACTAAATACATTTAAAAAATGTACTTCTAAGTCTTATTCTTTAAAATATGTAGATATAGTTCTTAGCTTTTTTCTTTCTTGTGAGATGTCACAGCAGTATGCCGGCCCTCCTGTTAGGCACGAGGGAGCCCTATCCGGACCCTGGATGGTTTCTTGCACTGAATTGTTCTGCAAGACACCGATAAACGTCTGCCAAGCAGAGCACTGACATTTGTAATGTCTTTGTTACTTAATATGGAATGAATTAACATGAATTCATACAGAATACTAATTATTTTCCTTTGAGAGAATTTTTCCTAAGGAGAAAAGCTAAATTAATAGTTTGTTTTAAATAGGACATACCTGTATGGCAAATTATCAAGCACAATTTTTCAAACTAAAAAGCACTTCTATATATACTTTTTTAGGTCAGTTAAAAACTAATCAACGTAGGGCCAGGGAGATGGCTCAGTAGAATAAACTCTTGCCTGGCAAGTGCAAAGGCCTGAGTTCAGTCCCCGGTTCCGCAAAAACAACAACAACGAAAAAACAAAACAAACAAACAAAAAAACTAATCAACATATAAATTTCTCAAATCTGAATGGCATAGTTATAATATATAAGATATTTTCAATTTCATTTCTTCACATAAAAAATTTAAAAGGAAATTGCTTATCTTTTTTTTTAGATATAAAACCAAAACTAATTTTATTTCATTTAGCATCTACTGATCATGCTTTGAGCTGCAACCTATCATAAAGTCGTTAATACCCAGAAAAAGAGTCAAAAACTCATAACAGAGCTATTGATACATGTGGCTCTTGCTTTTCCTCATTACAGTTAGTGGAGTGTTATATGCCATGGGCTTGGCTCTGAAGAATTTCTTCTCCTATGTTACTGGAGTGATGTTGAAAAGAACTTGAGATGCCAGGCTCTTTGCTGCACGTTCACAGTGTCCAGTATCAAGTGGATTCTAGGAACCCCCAAAGCAAATAGATTAGACTTTTACTTTTCTTTTCTCTTTTTCTTTCTCTCTCTTTTTTTGTTGTGCTGGAGGCTGAACCATGGACCTCTGCAATGAGCTACATTTTCCTTCTTT